ACGTGATTGCAAAATTTTCTGGGATGGATAGAGCCTGTGATCAAATAAAATATTGCTGGAAAACAAAAAAAAAATACCTGACCTCAATGGGTAGAAAAATTAACCCGTGATACAGTCAGGTGATAACGGCCAGCGGATGCTCTAGTTTGACAGCTTTCAATTGACCTTCATTAGAATGGCGAATATTCGAACAAAACGGACTGTCGACTGTGAGTGTGAGTAAGACATTTCAGTCCGGCTTGTAGTGGCGAAATGCTAGATCTGAGCCCACGTTATTAGTTTTCTGATAGTGGTCTGCACAGGTCCCATTTTGACAGCTGTCAATTAACCTTAATCTGGCTTGCGCATATATATACTACTGACTGCCCAGCCCTGGGAAAGTGTAGTTTCATTAATATTTGGTAAGTGTGTTATATCATATCAGCTTATATGCAGGGGCAAAACGACTAATTTTTCATCTGAGCCCGCGAGATGGTCATGTGATAAGTGTCAGTGGATGTCTGATTTTGACAGCTGTCAATTCATCCTCATATAGATGGCTTACGTAACTGACAGGCTAGTGTCAATAATTGAGCAAGATCTAATGGGACACTTGACATCGGCTTACATGTGTTAGGTGTAAGGACGGTCGGCGTTCGTACGCTACGTCATAACCAAATTTTCTCTGATGAATAGTTTACCCATGGTGCTCCACTGCGCGCGCGAGAGCTCCGCTATAACTCCAGATTTTCGTCACGCTATTTAACCCACACATTTAGACATTCATTTAAAACATACCTAGGAATTGGCTTGGGTTATTGAATGTAATCTCTGTAAGACACCGTCGAAATTCAGGAGTTTTCATGGTAGGCCCACGGTAATAGACCTTGTCACGGTTTTCGACGCCATCTTGACTAGTAGGTAAACGTGTGAGAAATTACAGTGTTTGTATGAGAATGTAATGCCTAATAATTTCTGTAAAATGGCTGTTCTGAAAAAACTATGACTTATGTATCAGTCAATTCCAGCTGCGACCAGCCCCCCCCCCCACCCCCCCGGGCTGACCCCCGGGCATTAGCATTCTTTTTGCCTTGGATGGAAAATGCCCGGGGGTGGGGACTCTTGAGCTGTCAAATCCTCCGGCCCCCGGGGCTGGGACGAAAAAGGGGGGCAAATGCGCCGTCCTCCGTCAACACTGCAACATTTCTCATTGATCGCACAGTCGAATAGTGCCTTTTTAGGAATTTTAATGTGCGATTTTTTGTTTCAATTAACATCTTCCTTTCGCTAGGATTATAATTAAGACTTCAGGCTGCGACGACATGCACCAGTTTATATTTTAGTATTGATGTAAAATTATTGACATTAAAAGTAATAGAGCGCTGTGAAGTTATATGTTATGAGTAGTTTTACCAATATGAAAGTATGTTTTTCAAATAATATCAACAGAAATTTGATTCAATAACCAAAAAACATTGATTCACGTCGATAGCTCCCGATTTCGCTGACTGTAATTCTGGCTTCATAAGCAATGAAGAAACGCATGCATTAAGTCAAGAACATGCCTTTACAAACCTCTTAATTTTTTTTCCGTCCTTGACAGATGAGCCAACATGCTTTCTTTCCTGGTAAAATCCTCTGTGTAGTTATATGCTGATAGGAAACCGCGTGCGTGTCAAAAGCCCAAGAGTGGCCCCGGGGTTGGCAAATGCCCGGCCCCCGGGCAGCACAAAATTTGCAAATGCCCCACCCCCTAGACTGTCTGGGCGGGCAAATGCCCCGCAGTAGCCCGGGGGAGATGGGCTGGGCGCAGCTGGAATTGACTGATGCATTAATATAAACTAAAGCTACTAAACAAAGGATTGTGCTAAAAAATTTTCAGAACAGCCTGTGCTTAAATTTCTCCAGAGGCTTGCTTTAGATTTTCCATATATTTGTCTGTAATTTTCCCGGGGACTTTCTTACAGACAAATGTATAGAAGATTTGAAAAACTGGTTCTAGGTCTTTTCGTGCATCTAACGCCTTCAATTTTTTACAGTAGAATCCTTAGGAAGGTTTAGCTTAAAATTCACATTTTTTTTCAGAACAGCAGTCCTACGGACGTTATTCGACATTATATTCTCAAACAAACACTGTAATTTCTCACGGTTTGCCTACTCGTCAAGATGGCGTCGAAAACCGTGACAAGGTCTATTGTGTAAACACTTCCAATTTCGAAACGGACAAAAGTGGATATTTACAGCCTAAAGGCTCGTTTTTTTTGTACTTCTTGTAGGTTTTCCCATTGCACTGGGGTAAAAAGGTGAAACTGGGTCAATTTTAGCCATTTTGAGACACTGAACTCTACTCGCCGGCGACTCTGCGTGACAATCTGTCTCGTGACTGCACATGACATAACGTACTTTTGAAGAGGCGGAGCCGTCAAAATGACAGTAGGGAAGTTAAGATAGAGAGGTTTTCGGGGCGACGGCAACTTCAACCGGACATGACGTCATGATTCGTGCGATATTGCGCATGCTCTTGTTCACCACCTTGCCGTCGTGGTCCCGTCGGTGACGTGAAACTAGTGGGTTTGGCGTTGTGGCGAAAACGTTAGTATCTAGCTTTCATTTCACTCAGGTTTGTTGCGTTTAGCAACCAGAATTTTGTACTTTATCGTTCTTAAATTGTCCTTGTTTTCTTTGAGTCACATTTCAAGCTCGATTTCGAAGGTCTGTTATCTAAACTTACATCTTCTATAATGTTTCATGCCACAGAGTCAAAGAGAATCTACCCAGCATGGCAAACAGCAAACCATAAGTGAGTTTTACATGGACAAAAATGTTCTACGAGGCAAATTATAGTAGTCAAAAGAAATATGAAAACCGATATTTTAATTGCGTGTTCTTAGCCTTTTTTTTTTCGTTTGTGTATCGTATAAAATAATGAAACATTCAAAATTATTTAGGATAACGCGGGAATACTGAAATAGTGTTGTTGTTGTTGCATGCAAGTATTTCCCGGGAATCATTTCAATACCAAACTTAGAATTTCTTTGTCAAAGAGGTAACAAAACACATTTTAGTTCTTTAGCACTTGTTTCTGGTAGACTGGTAGAAAAGCTCCCAAAAGAAATATCCTTGGAAACTGAATTAATTCCTAAGTGTCTCGAAAGATTCTGTCTGGCCAAGTTTGCTCAGTAAAAGCCTCTAATCACCAGCAGATACTTCGAATTCAATTTTTTTAAACCTTTTTTTTTTTTTGAACATTGCTCCCTCTTTTACAGAATTTGAAAGAATTTGATTTAGTCTATCCTGTAAACCAAAACGTAACAGGGTCATTTTCTTTACACCCTGAAACTAATTTAGCCTGCACGTTAATTTTTTTTAGAAAATGTTTTGGAACCTTGTGAACGCTTGTTTGCCAGAGTTTCATTTTTTCTGTAACTAGAAAGATAGGGATGAGGCAGTCAGATCTGTTCTCCACGTCTAGCTTATTTGTGTTGTCTGTTACTCCATGTTTGTTTGCCTAGATTGATTATGGAGTGGACCCCACAACATGACAGAGCCCTTCTAGATGAAATGTCTTTTAGTGAGGTGTTCCAGTATAAAAAGGGGACACCAGAAAGAGGTCAAGTTTGGGACTCCATCGCTGAAAACCTCAATGCTATGGAATACCCAAAATTTAAGGTCCTTAAGAGGTCATGTAGAGACCGCTGGACTCTGTTGCGTGGGAAATACCAGAAAAAAATGACAAACGAAATCAAAGCATCCAGCATTGATGTGGAGGTGAATGAAATTGACACCATAATTGTAGAGCTTATCGGGAAAAAAGATGCTGCTGTTAGCACTGGTGGCAAAGACAACAAAAAGGTTGAAGAAGAAAAGAAGGCTGCAGAACAAATTCGAAAAAAAGGGCATGGAGCGTTTGGGAGAAAGTAGCAAAAGATGTGGGGCAGATGGAGAGGTGGAAGTGAAAAAGCAAAAGAGAAAGAGTAGCAGCGAAGCTGTGGAGTTTCTCAGAGAAAAAGCAAAGTTAGACCATTCTCTCAGAGAGGAGGAACTTCAGCTTGGGAAAGACCAGCAAAGCCAGACACTGATGCTGTTGTTGATGGAAAAAATGGTGGAAAAGCAGAAAAATTAGAACAGTTCATATATAATTTCACATCAGTTCGTTGTTTGTTGATTTCTATTTTAAAAGGATGTAATACCTACTGTTATTCCTACTCAACTTCAAGAGACGTTTGTTGATATTAAAGTGTTTGCATACGTCTTGTTTAGTAGCTCTTGCTCCCATGGGGAAGGCTATATCACAGTCTGTAATATTAACACAGACCGTAAATAATCAACTATTAAGCCCCTCCTGGGGGGTCTTATTTTTTCCATTCACTTTTGAGGGGAGTGGGAAGGGCTAAGAAAAGAGGGTAGACTTTATAACTTTCTTTCCCTAAAAAGGAGGGGGCTTATTTTTGATGGGGGACTTAATTGAGAGGGGAGATGTATAGGGATTTATAACATCATTGTGTTTCCCTGTTTAAGCTTTTTCATTGAAATTAATGTAAGTGATTACTGATCATTTGCAGGTGGTTTTTATTATATTTTTTTTTTCAATTTTCAAACAAATGTTACTTCTCATATGCTACGACAACTGACGAGGGTCATAATAGAGCTTTTAGTGCTCTTTTTAACAACATTTAAATCCCCCCTTTCCATTCTTACTTATTCTTAATGTGATTCCAAGGAAGCTACTTCTTTTCTTTGTTTCAAACATTAGTATTATAACCCTATTTCTCTCTACCTCTAAGCAAAGTATTCCTCGAGGGTGGGGGGTTCAAGCTCGAAAAATGACGAGGTCTCATTGCCATAGAGACAGGTGCGGGCATTGTGCAGTAGTGCACAGACAATATACATCTTGCCAATGCTGCTAATGCCAATTTTTAAATTCGTCTTAAAATCCAAAAGCTTGAAATAGTTTATAACATCTCCAAAGAGCCACTCCACTGAAATCCTTATAGAGCTCTTGAAAGCATTGAATGCTTCCATTAAAGGAGTGAGATGAGGGTTCCGGAAAGGGCCTTGAGGGTGGACTCTGAGTCGATAGGCTGGATCTGCATATATGCACTTATTAGTAAGCCTGCTGGTGAAAACGCGTAAGCCTCTAGATCCTGAAGAAGCCCGGAATCAGTCAACATGCCTGAATCGTGCCTCTTACCTTCTGAAAAACAAATATCAAATAAATAATGTGAAATATCCAGAAATTAAAATGAGTTCTTTGTGTTGACTACTTATATATTTTATAAAAGGAGCATACCTACTGGACCATACATATTTGCAATGAGCCCACTGGGTATAGCAACCGACTGAAACTTCAGGGCGTGGACCCTTTTATGCACAGTATACACAATCCTCTGCTGTTCACCCGGTTTGGAGATTGGACGTACCGTGCCATCAACAAACACAAAGCAGTTGTCTAGGGCGGCACCTTTACCTGCGATGGCAGCAGCGTACTGTTCAAGAAATCCAGAATTTAGCACAGCAAGATTCCACTGAGTGATGCGGTGGCCATGGGTGTCGTAGATAAAATCCATCACTCGATTTGTTATCATACATAGCTCAGGAGCAGGTCTTCCAAAACGCGAAATCATATCGCTGAAACGACAAGGGCATGCCAGTCGTTTCAACAGCATGCATAGTCCCTCCATTCCATCGCAAACGGTTCCTTTGTGGCATTTAAATGTTCCTGGAATTTGTAAGGCTTCTGCAAGCCTTTGGAGATCATTTTTTTCAACACGAAATTCTGCCTTACACTCAGCTTCATCCATGTTTACGAGCGTGAACAGATCGTAACTGTCCCAAGGAAAATCGGGATTCTTGGACTCATAATTTTCCCACAAAACGAGAAACTCTTCATCTGATAACATGTTGTCTTCGTAGCAAATAAGCAATAATTCTCGTAGTTCTTTATGTGAAGCCATGGTCCCTCATCCGTAGTCTTCTAAGGCGCCGTCCTTCTGAGAATTCACCACGATCTTAATGTTCGAATTTTGGCGGGAAGCGACGGCTACCTCAGTTCCAGGCTTGCTCTGCCAGTCCGGTCGCCGTCGCCCCGAAAACGTCTCTATAGGGACCTTAAGATACTATGGACGCGGCCGAGGAGGACGTCAACCGAAAGTGAAATGTTCAATTCTTGGAACTAATTAGCATAATGCCACAGCGTCGACCTGAAGTCGCGACGGTGAAAACTAGAAGTTTGGCCGCCTCGTACAACGGTGAGTTGGCTTTCTTGTTTTCAGTGCAGAAATTGCTTTTCGCACAGGATTTTCGATCCGTTTTACTTAATGAGACACATGTAAGTGTTTTTAGTGAGGTGTTCTCTCAAGATTGCCTCTTATTTTTTTGCTATCAAGCCTTTTGGGTTCAGTGTTTTGGCGGCAACTGAGAATGAAAGTGCTGAGTCTTTCGACACAAATGTAACACTATAACTGCTTGTTTTTAAGGGGACAACGTTCTCGCTTTAGGATACTATTTGAAAACTTTAAGAGACAAGAAGTCGAAGGCTTGTAATAAACTTGAACATGTCGGAGAAAATTGAGATCTTGAACAAGACGCCATGGTTCATTTATTAAATTTTATAATTTTATTTTGTTCACTTTCAGTTCAGCGATGGAGCGGTATCACATCGTTTTAAAGCAAGATCTAGAACAACGGAAAGCGAAAAAGTCTGGCAACAAATAGCTGATAAACTGAACTCCGATCATACCCTCAAGTTTCCCTCGAAGAAATTCGGTTTTTTTTTTAGAGAAACTGGAGTAATAGCCGGCAGCACAATTTTTTCTTCCAATAAAAGATCGTTAAGGTATCAATCAAGCAAGACTTCACGACTTATGGAATTAAAACACGAACGCATTACTTTATCCTCTCTCGTCAGGCGAGCACTCAACCCAACCTGCTCAATCTTAATTTGTTATTCCCGCGAAGGTGGCGGCGTCCTCGCTCCAGGCTTTCTCCGTTCTCTTTACCGCCGCGTCCAGGGTATCTTAAGGTCCCTTATCTTAGTCACGGATTGACGGTAATAACGCAACGCAATTCTTGAAAGAGTAACATACATATTCGATCGCGACATTATTTGAAGAAGAAAAAAATCAAACGCGCTTTTTCTAGTTCCCACGTTTTATCGAAAAATAAGGACTTTGACAATGGTAATTCGCTAAGGACGACGGAACAGGAAGATATTTCGCATTGTTACTTTACGATCGAGGAAACTTGGAGCCGTTAAATAAGTTATTATGGTCACGCTTCACTGTTTTTACCGGACTTCGATGCTTAATGGTTTGGAAGCTGCCTAAAGAAACCCAAGCCAATTCTCAGGTATGCGTTAGATGAATGTCTAAATGTGTGAATTGAACGAGGACCGGGAAAATTTGGAGCTATACCACATCAAGAATAATGCCGCAGAAAACAACCACTAAGTTAAAGTTTTTGTCACCGTAAAAACCTATTCTTCGTTTTTGAATTATGTCAGTTCAACGAGTCTCGATATTGCTTTGAAAGTATCTTCTATAGTGAAAGAAGAAGAGTTGTTCTGTTGATGGAAAGTGTCCAAATTTCTCCTTGCGGCTTTATTTGCGAACGCGGGGAGAGTTGATGTTAGCAAATTTTGGGTTGAAAATACGGCCATTTTGAGACTCCGACCATCACGAAAACTGATATTGTTGCTTTTCTCGGAAATAAAAGGCTTTTCGCGAGAACAACTTACATCAGATTACTTATCTACCTAAAAGCTATTTATGGACAAAAAATGAAGGAAATAGATTTTTCAACTCTTGCTATTTCCTGACCGTCGCTCTTAAGAGAGTCTTAAGAGGCTCATTTGAATGAAGAGTTTGGAAACTATTGCAGCCAATTTTCCTCCGAGATTGATGGGACATCCTTTTTTAGTGCCATCCATCGATTTGAGACATTTCCAGAAAGTTTTCGCATCTAAGTTGTCTGTAGTTTTTTCTAGATCAGAAATCTTGGCATTGAAATAATCATTCTTTTCAGAATTAAGCAATTTCTTGTATTGCGTCAGCGTATCATGATAATTGCTCACGTACACAGGTCACTGAGTTGCCGAATGTTTTTTATACGCGTATGCTTTGAGTGTGCTGCAAATAATCCACTGGGGCCTTTTTAGTTGAAAGAAGTGACAGTTTGTAAGAATATTCTTTCCTTAAGCATCAAGCCTTTTTTTTCTAGAAGACAGCAGTGGCCGTGTATGAGCATTTGCCAGTAATACACGGCCACTGCTGTCTTCTAGACTGTTTACTTAACCCGTGAAATAGGTAGTAAAATACTACGTACTATTATGCATTAGTTTCATTGTCTTCTTTTGATTACCTGTTGCTATTTTGCACTTATTAGTGGTTAGTATCTGTTTTACGGTGTCAAGTAAAATCGCTCTAATGGATCCGCCTGTTAACAAGTCCACTATATAATTGTACAATTCCAGCGCTTAACGAAGCGACAACGGTAGTGTGACAACATCCCTGTTGTACCGCAGAGGAACCAGCGATCAGGCGGTCCTTCGTCTTCCCATTTTGTTTGGTTCATGGATTACGTGGTTTTATGAATATTCTTCTTTTTTTTTATTTTGCATGTAGCAAACTTGTTTCCATCATTAATGTTCGGCCCTGAATTGGCCGTGTTATGTAAAAGAAAATTACCCTTACTGTAAATATATTCATCCTTGTTGAAAAGAATATGTCAAATTTTGCTTGGTCTTTTGATGAAGAAACTCCCAATACAGTATTTAAGCAATAGAAAACGTTTTCCGTGTTTGCATAGTCTGATATAAACACGAGAGGGGTTGGGAGAATTCGAGACAGTTTGCAAACCCGAGACGAAGTCGAGGGTTTGCATATATAACCGTCGAGAATTCTCCCAACACTTCGAGTGTTTATATCAGGCTATGCAAACACCGGAAAAAAGTTCTCTATTGCTTCTATACAATAACTTTCCGAGAAAAAACGCAAAACTCTTTGTATGGCACTGATTAAAACAGAAATTCTTACCAGTCGCAAAGTCTTGTCCACAAAGTCTTGCACGCGTAATCAGTTCTTGTTTTGCAAAAAGATGCTTTCCAAAATACGGACTTTTCTCGCTTAAAATGTCAGCTTAAGCGAAAAAAAATTGACACAACTTCTTTGTAACGATTTTCCAAGTTTCAGCCGACGACGGAATGGGCAAATAAAGTAAACTTGTTGAGTTTTGAACTCGAAAACTTCTTCAAATTTGTGCTTGCGTGATTAGCGCGCGAAAAGCAAAACATCTTGACGCCACAACCATGTTTACATACTCTTATGCAAACACCCCTCTCGTCCAGTCAGAGCGCACGTACTATCTTGGTTATTTTATAATCATAAATATCTAGCCAGAGGAAGAATTTTGAATTTTATTTTTCTCTCCATGTTTTT